TCTTCTCCCGTAAAAATTTCCCACCTTGGGAACTTTATATATGATGGCTATATGTCAGAATCAACTTGATGGCAGTGGGTTGGGTTGGGTTTGGACAGAGAGATGACATCATGATAAACAGAGAAAAGATGGAAGCTGTCCAATGAGCCCAAGAGGGAGAAAATGTTCGAAAATTGATTGGAGTGATGATTGCACAACCCTTCTTAAGATAATTGAACTACTGGATTGTATGATATGAGTTGTATGCCAATAAAATGGTCAAAAAGAAGATCGAAGTTGTCAAGGATTTCATTGTGCTTGGATTCACAATCCATGCTTATGGTAATGGTATGTAAGAGATCGAATACACTTTGCATTGGGCGGATCTGCTGCACAGGACCTCTTTAGAGTGTGGAGGAAGGGGATGCTCTTTTGAGGACTTTGGTGCACGGACCCAAGCCATAGTGTGAAAACTATGCCTCATCTGTAGGTGAAAGTTGAATAATGAATAGGAAGACTAAAAAAGTCTTTGCATTTTAAGAATATCAAAAGTACCCCAGACTGCCAAAAGCACCAGCAAATCTATCTGGGAAGAAGTGCAGTTAGAAGGCTTCTTAGCAAGACCTGATCATGTGTCCTTTGGGCATGTTGTCATGAGCGATCACTCCCTGGAGAAGGACATCATGCTTAGTAAAGTAGAAGATCAGCCAAAAAGAGGGAGGCCCTCCAGGAGATGGAGTGACGGTGACTTCCACAGTGAGCTGCAACATAATGATTGGAAGGTGACCCAGGGCCAACCAGGGCTTCCTTCTGCTGTGCACATGGTGCTATGAGTTGGAACCGATTCTACAGAGTCTTAACAAAAGCAACCGCGATGACTAATGAGAGTGAACATTTTTCATACGTTTGTTGGCTGCTTGGAGGTCCTCTTTAATGAAGGTTCTGTTCATGTCCTTTGCCCATTAAAACAAAAATCTTTTTGTTGTGGCGTTCTCCTGTAGATTTTAAAGGTTAGACTCTTATCAAATAAATTACTTCCAAAAAGGGGGGGAGGGTGTTGACAGAACTTAGGATGCTTTTCATTATTTCTTGTAACTCTTGTGGTAGCGTCTTCATTGCTAATATTTGCCAATGAATCATACAGTGAGTTCTGATGATTTTTGGTGACTCATTCAGTACCAAACGTTGAAATCCAGATCGACATCCTAGCATAGCTGGAGCACCATCTGTTCAAACACCACACACCTTTTCCCAAGAGACCTTATGCTCTTTCAGAAATGAACCAACTGTGTCAAATACATCACGTGCAGTAGTTGTCGATTCAAGAGGTTTGCAAAAAAGAAACTTATCTTTAAGTCTCCATTATGAATATACCTCGTGTAAACTAGTAACTGTGAACAGTTGCAACGCCTGTAGATTCATCAAGCTGGATGCTAAATATTGGAAGTGGAGCAGATTTAATTTCCTGGACTACATGATCAAGAATATCAGCAGAGAGCCCTGGGGACAATGTGCCTGTTTGGAACAGCGATGCACGGAGATGACCACAGGGCCGGCCCCACCACGGGACACAGTGTTCCTGGTTGACCCATCACACCACTGGGGACAGCACTGGAGACAAACGGTGGGAATTGCGCCCGCCATGAACTCACCATGACTCATGCCAGCCTCTGGGGGCATGCATCAGAGCAGCAGAGGGAGCAGAGCAGTGAGGTCCTCAGGGATAGAGGCGACGCCGGGGCATGGCACCCAATCAAACTTGACTGGAATGCACAGGTGAAAGAAAACAAGCAGACCCTGAACTATGCCTATGGTTATATATGTATGCATATGTGTGTATTGTTGTTGTTGTAGACATTGTTTTACTTTCTGTTGTTGCCTCGTTGCACTTAGTCTGGTGATGGTACATAGCATGTCTACCTGGAAAGGATAGGCGGAATAAACAAGCCAGAAGAGAGAACAATGGATGACAGATCAGGGGAGCATGGAGGCAGGGGAGGGGGGGAGGAAGGAAGAGGGTGTCAACAAGCACAGGGACAAGGGAACAACAAGTGATCCAAAATCAAAGTCAAGGAGGGTGCGGGAGGCCTTGCAGGGCCGGATCAAGAGCAATGTAACCGAGAGGAATGTCTAAAACCCAAATGAAGGTAGAACATGATAGTGGGAGAAGAGGAAAGTACAAAGAAACAGAGGAAAGAACTAGGAGGCAAAGGGTACTCATAGAGATATGAATACAGGCATATAAAGATGTAAATATATTTATATATGATGAGGGGGAAATAGATCTATGTACATATATTTATAGGTCAAGTATTAAGAAAACAGATGGACAGTGGGCCCCTACACAAGTATTCCCCCAACACAAGAACACTTTGTTCTAACAATTCGGCAGTCTGAGATGCTCACCTACCTGACATGATCGCTGAAGACAATGGGTGCACAAGCAAGTGTGGTGAAGAAAGCTGATGGTGCCCAGCTACCAAAAGATATAGCACCTGAAGCCTTAAAGATCTGAAGATAAACAAGCACCATCTAGTTGAGAGACAACAAAACCCACACGGAAGAAGCACACCAGCCTACACCTACTTGATTGCTGAGGACAAAGGGGGTGCATTAGCAAAAGTGGTGAAGAAAGCAGATGATGCCCGGCTATCAAATGATAAAGCATCTGGGGTCTTACAGGCTTGAAGAGAAACAGACGGCCATCTAGCTGAGAAACAACAAAACCCACAAGGAAGAAGCACACCAGCCTACCCTGACACAGATGCTGAAGACAAAGTGGGTACATAAGCAATTGCGGTGAAGAAAGCTGATGGTGCCAAGCTGTCAAATTACACAGAATCTGGGGTCCCACATACTGGAAGATAAACAAGGGGCCATCTAACTGAGAAACAACAAAGCCCACATGGAAGAAGTCCACCAGCCTGTAAGATGACAAGGCGGAGAAAGGGTCAGGTATCAGGCATCAAAGACCAAAAAGAAAAAAAAAATCATAACATTGTGAATGAGGGGGAGTGCAGAGTGGGGACCCAGGGCCCATCCAGGGGAAATTGGACATCCCCTTTCAGAAGGGCTATGGGGAGGTGAGGAGCAAATCAGAGTGCATTGTAGTAACGATGAAACATGCAGTTTTCCTTTAGTTCTTTTTTTTTTTTTTTCAGTACAAAAATAAATATATTTGAATTCAGTTTAAGATGAGGTGAAGGTTTTCCAAAGCTTGGACTGAGGGTTCCCGGGCCAGAGGGTGGGTGGCAGGGGCCTGGGTGCAATGAGACGCGGGCATCGTTTGGGAAGCAGCAACCGCTGCCCCTCAGCTTATTTGGACTGTGGGGAGCAGCTGTCCTGGGCCGGGTGGGCCGGGCGCTGGGTCGGGCCCTGGCCAGGCAGTGGGCTGCCGCCACCTCCCTCTCACTCAGTCCAGAGACAGCATGGTTAAGAGAGACAGAGGTAGATTAAAACGTCATGATCAAAAGCAGATTAGTTATCTAGGTTTCTCAGATTAAAAACCAAACAATCCAGCAATCATTCCGAAAGGTCGCCTCGTGGTACCTCTGCTGACCCCGTCTGTGACCTGGGCTGTCCCTGTCCCTGTCGCAGCCCGGGCCCAACGGCCAGGGGCAGGGCAGAGGCGGCTGGTGGCCACTATTTCCGCAGGTGGCGCTGTGCCAGGATGGCTGCGTCCAAAGGGTTTATGGGCTGCGCGTCGTGGCCCAGCCGCCGCACGGGGGGCACGCTGCCGAACTGCCGCTTGGGCAGCCAGCTGCGCACCTCGTGGCCCGAGCTCTTCTCCTCGGCCAGCAGCAGCTGCTGCCGCATGTAGTTCTCGAACTCGTACTGCGAGCACTCCTCCGTCACCTTCGCCTCCTGGGGGTTGTCAGTACTGCTCATCTGGTCATCGATGTCCGGAACCACTTGCAAAGGCCCACTCAGAGACGACAGGGACTGCCAGGACGCGATGATGGCGCTGAGGGCCTCCAGGACGTCAGAGGCGGCCAGGCGCTGCTGGGGGTCAAGCACCAGCAGCTTCCAGATAAGACACAAGGTGTTCTCGGAAACTCGCCCGTCCTCGGGGATGGTGTACTCGGCGGCCTTGATCTTGCGGAAGAGCTCCTGCGGGATGCTGTCGTAGAAGGGGAACTGGCCATACAGCATGGTGAAGAGTACCACGCCCAGGGCCCACACATCGCTCGGCTTGCCCCGGTACGGCCGGCCATTGAGCACGTCGGGGCTGATGTACGCGGGGCTGCCCCTCTGGTCCTTCAGGAGATCCCCCTCGCTCACGAGATGCTACCGAGGCAGAAGTTGGTGACGGTTATCCAATGAGTCCTCTTATTGAGCACCATGTTCCCGAGCTTCAGGTCTCGGTGCACAATGTTTTTCTGGTGCAGGGCCTCCACCGCGGGTACCACATCGTAGAAGATGACCACGGTCTCTCGCTCGCTGAGCCGCTTCTCCTTGATGACGTAGTGCTGCAGGTTGATCAGGTCGGCGGTCTTGTCGCTGAAGTCGTGTGCACAGAGGCAGTCGAGGACCAGGCAGATGCGCTTCTTCATCTTCCTCACCATCCGGCTGGACTCTGTGTCCTCCACAACTTCGCAGGTACGGTCCTGGAAGAGGCCGTGGTGGTGGACCACGCCGTCCTGCGTGTGGAGGAGGGAGAGCAGAGAGTGCTCGGTGTGGAGCAGCATCTTGCCTTGCCTCTCCTCTTGGCTCTCTAGTCCTTGGTCCCCTCGTTCCTCCAGGGTGAGAATCTTCAGTTGGTAGAAGTCATCTGTGCTATCCTTCCTCGCCAAACACTGCACGATGCTGGGCACCGGTGAGTTGCCCAGGCGGAGACCGAGGATGAGGGGCCCGGCTCGCTTCGCATGATTTCCGGAGGTGCCACTTCCCAGGGCCTTCGCTTTGGCTGATGTCTCCCCAGCTCCTCTGTCCGACGCTCTCCGCTTCATTCTCAGCTCTTCCCCCGGTGCTCAGCGCCGCTCGCCCATAGTCCTCAGCCCGGAGCCGGGGCTGCTCGGCGCTCCGTGCCGCGGGGCCGGGGCCTGGGCC